GTGTTCCTCCAGCTCCATACTGTGTTATCTCTGACTCCAGCATCGGCAGTTCTTACTATTTCTGAGGGTGTTGCGTGTATGGAATGAGCTGCCAGAGGAAGTGGTGGAGGTTGGTACAATTACAACGTTTAAAAAGCATCTAGTTGAATACACAAATTGGAAGGGTTTGGTGGGATATGTGCCAAATGCTGGCAAATAGGACTAGAATAATTAAGGATATCCAGTCGGCACTGACGAGTGGACAGAAGGGTCTGTTTCCATGCAATGCAATTCTATGAATCTTTTACTCTATGGTCAAAATTAAAGGACCAATGATGACTGTATATGGGAACTTACTGGGTGAGCAAGAGATTATACATTATGTAAGAGGATTACATTTACATTATTCTAATAAAGTAGCTGCAGTATTGCTTATAGATAGGTGGGTGCACAGGAGGGAGTAGAGCTGTCAGACAGCGAATAAAGAACATGTAAGGCCGGATAGCAATTCAGGTGAGGAATAAAACAAGCTGTCAGGTGAAATGGGAAGTAAAGCAAGGACAAAGGTCTGAGGAAAAACAGGGATGGAGTATGTCAATTACTGTTACTTAGTAACTGGAAGCAGTGATGCTCATAAATTGAGATAGCTGGAGACATTCTGGGAAAGGCAGCAGATGCTTTCCTAGGACTGAGACTGCAGAGACAAAGAAGAATTCATGATAGAATTGGATAATTTCCTCAGGCTAGAAGTGATATCAGGGGCTTTCTTGTGATTGAAGATGGTTGTGTTGTCAATTCAGGGGTCAAGGATGAAAGCGTTGTATATAGATAGTTATATCTTTTCAGTCAAAAACATTCGTAAATAGTGGCATCCCTAGGTTTTATTTTGTCAGTACCAGCAGGATGGCAAGGGAAATCTTCTCCCGAAAATAATAAACAGCACAATTTCATTTTGAAATCTGTAAACCTTTCAGTGACGGTGTTGGAGCCAAAAAAATGGCCAAAAATCTACTGGACTAACACAATGGTGTGACAGCCAGGATTTGCAGCTTGGAAATAATTCCTGATTTAAACATGGTGTATCCAGTGTATCTCCAAATGGAGAGTGTAACCTCTTAAGACACACAGAAATGCTGCAGCACCCTAAGCCCACAACTCACCATTTATAAATATTCTGTAAAATTTCTGTTCAGAAGCATAAGAACTTGGATTTTTCTTGCAAGAGTCTAGGTCACACTCCAGAGCTGGATACCCTGTTCGCTCAGACCTCTCTAACACAGAAGTCATGTATGCAGCTTCTCAATTGGTGTATGAGCATGTCACTCTTCAATTAGCACCATGTGTGGAAATATTGATCAGAGCATCCCCATGCCAGGCTTTGCACCACTTACACAGATAATATTATTTGGAATATACAAAACTACTGCCAAAACAATATGCTTATGCAAGGTGAGAGTGCAAACCACATCCAGGATATCAAAGCTTTCTATGCATTAGTGTGCACATGCAATCAATGTTTATTTTCTTTTTATTATGTCATATTTAATAGCAGTGAAAGAATTATAAAGGAATAGGTTTAATAGGAAACTATGGAGAAAATGGATCAATGGAGAACAGTGAATTGGATGAGGTCATTGGCTTTTTCTCATTGATAAATTATTGCGCACTTCATTACTTTATTACAATAGTATTTGATTGAAGAACAACAGTGAGGATGGCCAACCAGTAGAATCTTGTGAAATCCCTATATTAGGTTTTCCTGCTAATTAATAAAAATTAACTTAAATACTGTGACTCACTGTACATTGCTTTAATTTCATTATTTCAGTGAATCTCATACTGAACAATATATTTAATTGTGTTTTTGTTGAAAAATAACATTCTGTAAACAACAATGGTTTAGGAACCAAGTGATGAAAACATAAACATGAGTGGAAATCTAGAAGAGCTTGCAAACAAATAGCCCACTGTGTGAAAACTGAAAGATAAACACCTTAGCAGAATTCTAGGGGATTGGATAGAGGACAGTGTGAAAAATAGTGCCTCGTGAATAAACTTTCTATGCAAAAAGACCATCGGATTTTCCATGCTTTCACTCAGCACTAGCATGGAAATGTTTATGAGTAAATAGATGGTGGAGTATGGGAAGCCAGGGATGTTGAGACTTTGATGTGGCTTAGGTGGAATTACATCTTTTTAATTGGATCATTGAAATAATAGCGCAGTAATGATTGGGTTAAGTCGGTCTCCATAGGTTTGTTAAGTATAAGAGGAGATTAACCAGCTACAGAAATGGTAGAGGTTTTATGTGTTGCATTGACAAATATTGCTCAGGCCTTGGCATTTATCAAGTCTTACCAATATGTGACAAAATATAACCACTGCCATCAAATGATGCTATCGGTGAATGATTTCAGATCTTGAGAATAAAGAGTTAAAGGGTTAATTACCTCTCATACCTTGAATCCCAACACCTTGTAATTCTTTGTTATAACTTTTTTGATATCATCATCACCGACACAAAACAGACACACATAAGAATGTTGATGACATAGCAGAGTTAACTTCATAACTTAGCCATTATCGACTTTGACCAAAACATTCATGTGGATAGGCTTAAAGAGTTTAGTACATTTGAAGCTTCGCCACACTGAAAATAGTAAAGTTTCAATTTTGCTTCAAATATTCAGTTATGAATATTTGAGAAATATTAAATCAGTTTGAGGAATACAGTGGAAACATACATTTGATTTCTCATCTACTGCTTTTTCCAAGTTTCCATAATTTTTAGTGTATAATTTAAAGCAATTCCAATGATAATTGTAATAACTGATTTTTTTAAAAAAATTGTCCTTTCAAGAGTAAATAATAGCTTGGCCCTTCAACTCACAATCAACATGTTACTTCCTGGTTCAATTTAGGATCACTCTGC